AAAAAAAAAATTCATAATTTAACAATTTTTGTTTTAGTGATGAACCAACTGGCAACTACCAAAATCGTATCAAAATAGAAACAGATGTCATTGACAGATTTGTCTACAGAAGCATGATAAAAAAAGAATTCAACCATCCTTCAATTAAAAATATTAACTCTAATATTTTATCACCAACCACCGAAGAAGAAATTTGTGACAAAATCAAAATAGAAGCAGACAACGCTAATGGTGATAATTATAATGAAGGGAATCTGAAAATGAAATATTCAGAATATATTAAAAATTCAAATTGTAATGACATAACACCAATGGACAAAATATCGACACACATATGCACTATAGGCAGTACATCATTCGCTACAGTATCTAAATTTAAGAATCAAATGAAAACTCATCTTGAATCAGAATTAATGTCGCAGTCGTCTATGGATAAATTAATTTATAAAAAAGAACATACTGACGAGCCTGATGGCTATCAACAGCCAGGTCATTTTAATGAACAACATGACAATAGTCTTAGTCATATCAAAATAGAAACAGATTTCGTTAACGGTGATACTTTTAAAAGTATAGTTAATAGTGTAATTAACTATTTTCCATCAACTGAAAAGTTGAACTTTTGTAGTCAAGTAAAAATAGAAACAGATTTAGTTGACAGTGAGACGCATAGTACATGTGATACGGATAATAATAATGGAAACATGGAAATTAATAATATAAATTGCACAGAGAGTTCAAATTATGATATTACAGAACCTATAAATAAAACATCTCTAATATGTAACTTTTGCCATAATGAATACGATAAAACTTCAAAATTAAAGAAACATATGAAAACTCATATCAAAATAAAAACAATATCTCGTAAAATTAATTTGAGAAATAGATCTGCTGTAAATACTATAAAAAAATTTCAATGCAATATCTGTAATAAATTATATTCGGAAATGTCTAAAATAAATATACATATGGAAACTCATATGGAAGAAAAATCGGTTTCAAAAAAAAAATGTTTGTTATATAAACCTACTATTGGTATTGAAAATGAGTTTAATTGTGATGTTTGTGATAAATATTTTCCTACTATAACAAGTTTAAATAAACACGTTCGAATAATTCATAAAAAACAAAAAACAAAACAGAATAACAATATTAATACAAAGCCATCAACTGATTCTTTAAATTTAAGAAGAAATCAAACTACAACAGAGCCTAAAGAGTATAATGTCTGTCAGAATTCATACTCCGTAAATGAACAAACTGAAAATAGTTTGGGTCGTATAAAAATAGAAACAGATATAATTGACGGTAATACATTTACAAGTATATTAACTATAGAAAATTATTCAATCACAAACTTTGACACTAATATTTCAAACCCTACCTCCGAAGAAAATACTAACGACAAAATAAAAATAGAAGCAGTTACCGCTGATAATAATGATAAAATGATTCATGGCGGTTATGATGATATAAATGCAGAAAAAGTTGATGATTTTTTAAGTGGTAAACATTTAAATTCGGATGTTATATCATCAATCAACAAAGAATCTATGAAAACATGTGCTTTGTGTAATACATCATTTTTCAAAAAGTATCTTTTAAGAAAACATATGAAAAGTCATATGAAGGACAAAACATGTTCAGAAAAAAAAAAATCAGCCTGTCTTAATGCTGAAAAAAAATTTAAATGTCTTGTGTGTAACAAACAATTCACTGCATCATCAACAATGAAAGTCCATACAAGAATATTTCATACAGAAAAAAAAATATACAAATGCAATAAGTGTCATAAATCATTTTCAGATATAGTGTACTTAAGAAGACATAGAAAATATCATGATGAAAAACCATACCAATGTGAGGTGTGTCAAAAATCATTTCCTCAGATGTCAAATTTGAAAGTCCACATGAACATTCACGCTGGTATAAAACCATGGAAATGTGATGTGTGTGAAAGATCTTATGCCGATAAGACATCCTTCAAGAGACACATGCAATACCATAATGAGGGATATTCTTTTAAGTGCAATTTATGCAATAGAATTCTAAAACGAAGAAATAGTTTGAAAAAGCACATGATTAGTCATATCAACGGAAAGAACTCTGGGAATAAAAAGTATGATTGCAACATCTGCGAGAAGAGCTACAATACACCATTTGTTTTAAAAAGACATAAGACTATTCATACAGGCGAAAAACAATTTATCTGTGACATCTGTAAAAAATCATTTGGTGCAAAAGCACACATGAAAAGGCATATCATCATCATTCACATGCAAGAAAATAAATATAAATGTCACATTTGTAATAAATTGTTTTCGGATGTAAATTATTTCAAGGTACATAAGACTCTACACGATAACAGTAAACCATACGGGTGTAACTTTTGTAAAAAATCATTTTCACACAGGACATTTTTAACGATTCATTTAAGAAACCATAGAACACGCCATGAATGCAAAATTTGTAAAAAATTATATCCTCAAAAAAAAATATTAAAAATTCACATGAAAATACATCACTCGGAATAAATATATATATATACATGTACGAAAATTAACTTTCTGGTAAAAAATGTAAGCTCAGTTGAAATCTTAGTAAAGGCGATTAATTTCAATAGTATAATATTTTCAAATGATTATTAAAACTCAATATTCTTATTCGACCATACACACAAGAATTATTAACACATAATAAGAATAAAAATGTACAATGAAAGAATTTTTCAAATTAATAATTTTAAGTTAGTATAATTCAACAGTATCTGAAATATTTTAATTATCTATTATTCGTTAGTATCCGCACATTTTGTTATAATTATAGTATATATGTAGTTCAATTATATATATTTAATTACAATTAATTAGAATTCAAATAATAATAAACGGTGTATGTTTTTGTATTCTTAATAAAGATGTAACTATAATGGTTTTAGTTGAATAGTATGTAAAAAATAAATATCAAGTTTTTATTGCTTTAGGTAAAAATTAATTAATTTATTAATTTTAATCAGGTACATTATTTATTTTAAAGCAAAAAAATTGTGAAAAATTTTAACAATAGGTAAACAAAATGTTTCAATTTTTTATTTTTTATTAAATCAAATAGATTATTTTATCACATGTTCTATTATTAAAAAATTATGAAAAGCACATTTTCTAGGTTTAAAATTTATTTTTTTTTTTTTTTGGGGTAACGGCCTTTAAGACCATTTTTATTATTATTATTATTAAGACCATAAAAATATTATAACATATATTATATATTATTATACATTATTACATTATTATTATTATGAAATTATGGGTTTTTTTTTTTTTAATGATTTTGATATGTATTATTAATATTAGTAGTTCAATAATTATTATATAAAAAAATTACATTTCAATAATAATACAATATTTAAAATCAAGGATATTAGATAAAATTATATATTGTTTATTTAAATATATATCTAAATTAATAAACTAAAGCTATTTTAAAGGATTTACGTTTGTGTTAACTTATAAACAATGATATTTTAGTATTTAATTAGAAATAAATAATAGTTATAGTTGCATTCTTTTATACACCGAGTAATATTTAAAATATTAATTATGTATTAATTTTATCTTAAATAGCTGTAATCATAGTCAGATTTAAATATATATTAAAAATATACAGTAAAGTATACGTACTTTCTTTATTTGAAATTTCCTAGACCAACATTTTTATCCAAAAATATAAAATTAAATAATAAATTATTGCAATAAATAGAACTTCTGTGTGCAGTTTTTTTTAGGTGCAATACGATTGTTATGTGTATTTTGGCATCAGTGGATTTGGATTGGTCTTCACTGTTGTACAATCTTATTTGGTATAATAAAAATCAAAATAATTAGGCATTATATGTTATAAAATATTAACAAAACTAAACCCAAAACGAGATTAAAATTTAAAATTGAGTATTGTTTAGTAATTGCACTGAAATTAAACCAAAAGATATCAGTAGTCTAAAATGAAATAATTAAGTTGGTATAATATTTATTTTTTTTAAATTTTTAAATTAACGTTTGCAGATAACCTATTCATATATTAGAAATTTTACAAAAATTTATGTACTAATTACTTGTAACTAGTTCCTCTAAAAGTGATATTATTTAATGATATTTTTTATGTTATAACAAATATGAAAGTTTCATGCTTGGATAGGTTGATGAAGAATATATTTTTAAGTTCTTGGTACAAAAACGAATAGTTTGGTCAGAGAATTATAATTATTATTAAACCTGTTGCGATTTTTAGTTACAATAATTAAAAAAACAATACATTAAAAATATACTTGAATATCTTAATAATAAAGCATAGCAATGCAATTAAAGAAACTTAAACATTGTTTTAATAATTTAAATAAAATCCTCAAAATATATAACATAAGTTTATCATAAAAAAAAAAAAAAAAAAAAACTAAAACAACTTAAAAAAAATTAAATTAAATTAAAATCAAAAATAAAATTAACTTCAAATTTAAAATAAAGGTAACGTTTTTATATATATATATATATTTAAAAATTTGTTGTCATGCAATCACTGCCTTTCTCAAAGAAAAACTATAAATGATAATATTTTGATAATGGAAATTAAAAAATATAAGTGACAGAAAAAAAATGTATAGAAATGCATACACATGATTTTTTTTATTATTTTTTTTTTTTTGAATTATTACATAATTATATTAATTTATATAACATATTAATACATTACATATTTATTCAAACAATAATGAAATAAAATATTTAAGTATTAATTAAAATAATTTTATTATTTTATATCACATATTAATACATAATATATTTATTCATACAATAATGAAATAAAATATTTAAGTATTCACAATTAAAGTTAAAAATATATTATTTAAATGGGAGTTATGAAATTTTGTCATTCAATTTAATATAATTTTCAATCAATTTTTATAAAATACTACTTTTCATCACATTATTTTATGACATAATTTGAAGAAAAGTTTTTCCATCATACATATTAGAAACTTCAGAAAGAACATTTTACTAAACATATTTTTATAATCACTTACTATATATTTAACATGCAATCTTCTAAATTTTAATAAAACTTTGTAAGACATTTTATATTATTGAATTTTACAAAAATTGCATTAGTCTTAAATTGTATCATTCAAATGAATTTGAGTGTTTTCTTCAGAGTTTCCAGAGATCGAAAATGTTTTAGGATAGATCGCACATTCAATTCATTCTTTTGAGACACGAGATACCATGGATTACTTTAATGACAAATTAACATTGATCTTCTTATGAACATCGGCTATTTGAAAATCGTCCTCAACATTGGAGTGCCAATTTTTTTTATGTTGTTTTTTATAATAAATAAAATAAAAATAATTTTTAAATAGCTTTTTACTGATATTACATTTCTGAATAACTTTTTTTGTATATCTCTTCATATGCTTTTATAAAATTAATTAACTAGACACTACCTTATTACAAATATCATATTTATATTGTTCGTACATAGCATGAGTAGTTTCTGTTGTGTTTCTTCATATGATTTTTTTAAAATTGATGAACTAGAAGACACTATCTTACTATAAATATCACTTTTATATTGTTCCTTTGAAGTTTGATCAGCATCTTATGAATATATCTTCATATGATTTTTCATAGTTAAAGAACTACCAAAAAAAATTTTATTACAAATTTTATAATCAGTGATATATTTTATTTTATTAATATTTGATTGTAATGTTTTTTAAGATCCTTAGTGTGATTCATCAAAAGTTTTTTTGATAATGGCAATTTTAAACTATGATATCTCATATGAATCCTTAATTTAGGCTTTCCAAAGAATGATACATTGCAAATTCTGCATTTAATGCTGAACTTTTTGTCGCACAATCTAACATTATAATACGCTGAGTCCAGTTTAATAAAGTTATTTTCTAAAACAATAGAACTTTTTAACATATCATCACTGTCAACGAAATCTGCTTCTATTTTGATTTTGTCGTGAATTTTGTTTATGACACCACTAAAACAAAAAAAAAAAAAAAAATTATTTCTCATTTATTAAATTAAAATAAATTTATAAAACAGTAATTCAAAATTTCGAACTTCATTTTACATAAAAATAGACTTTATATTAAGTAATTATTTTTAATTGAGGCACATTAATTTTAGCAATGAAGATATGTTCTCTTATTATTATATTTAGGAATCTAAGAATTAGTAAATAATCTAATTGATTATACAAAAGACAATTATAATAAGTGTTTTATTATAAATTCAATACCACAAAACACTAATTCAAAATATAATATAAAATAAGTAATAATTTAGTTATTATATGTATTATTATTACTAAAACCAAGCTGGTTAACATAGATTTAAATAAATTGAAGAAATAAAAATGTATGATGCAATAGGAATTATACATTCATTTATAATAAAACATGAAAAAGTATACCAATTGAACTTATAATAAAAACACCGACATTTATATTTACTAATATAAAAGGAAAGTTCAATAACCAATAGCATGTATATGTATTGATTTGATATACTATATCTTAAATTAAGTATTTATTTTTTGTCATGTAATATACAATGAATAACCATATTTATAAATAAAAATATATTCTGACCTCATAATATCATAGGTTGATAGTCAGAAATCACAGAATGTTATTGTACACTTAATCATTGGCTTAATAGATCTGGTACAGATTTTTTTTTTTTAAACCCAGTATATAAGATACTGTGTAAAATAAGAACTTGAACTGTAATTCTTAACAAAATATAGTTTATTGTCTAAATTTATTAATGAAAATATAACGTAAAATTTAATTATCAAAATTATGTATTCATGTTCTGAGAGAAGTCATGTAATACAAATTAATTATAAAATTATTTAATACTCATACACAAATATTTTATCTTCCATTTAATGAATGATATTTAATAAAAATTACCGACCTAAACTGTGACAATGCATCATTATTGTCTGGGCGCTGTGTTAATCTATCAACTTGAACATATTGATCAATACCAGGTATGTTTTTGCTTGTACTGAAAAAAAAAAATTTGGTTATGAAATTATATGATAAATATAATGTATATAAATATGTCATAGCCTAAGTGAAATTGACTATTTCATGAAATGGTCGTTCCAATTTGACATCGTGTAATTTTTTCCACAATCTGGTCATTCACTTTATGTACCGAAAATATATTTTATATTTATCATGGTCTTATAATCATTTTTATTAGTAAATATGAAATGTGTAAATGTGTAATGTGTAAATTGATTTAAGCACGAAATTCCTTTATTAAAAATTGTATTTTACAATAATATCTATTAAATAAAATTACCTGATTACCTGAAATGAGCAGATTATATTTTATTGATTTTGATTTGTCATATTAGATTTTTGTTAAAGTTCAAAAGTGTATAGTCGGTGAACGGATTGTGCTCGTACATTCACGCATTTTAGATACTTACTTTAAAATAATTTTGTATAATCTTAATAATATAGAAAATTTTAATCCAAAAAGTGAATTTTACATTCGAATGAACAAGTATTATTTGGACAAACCGGAAAAAGTCATATACAAATATGAAGATTGAGGCAATTATGGCCGAAATTACTGATGCTAAATTAAACAAGTACCAACAAATGTTAAACGATATTGCAGAATTTGTAAAATTGAATCCACAGAAGACTTTTGTGATTTGTGTAAAACAAATCAAAAAATAGAAGAAGAACATGAAGCAGCGCATATAGGTCGAAAGAATGTTACAGGTATCTAATTATTTATTATATATAACAATTTGACATACATAGTAAATAAATTGGATGTGTACAATATATTTAAGTAATTTTTTTTTTTTTTGTTGTTTGTTACAGGTTATAATTCCTACATTCAATATTAATGACTGTATCACAATTTCTGTTCCAAAAGTCAATAGAGGGCCTTTGGACCCAGCACACATGATTGCTGTTATAGTTGAGAAAAAAAATGAGATGTATAGAGTAAGAATTGAACATGGTTTAATTAAACGATGGTTAAGTTCTGGAAATATGCAGCGTGCCACAATACATTTCATATCAGCTGATCAAGTTGACAAGCAAAACGAATTAACTTTGCGTGAAACAGTTAAAATTATATCTGGAGGTCAAGGATTTTTGAGTTGTACATGCAAGAGTGCTTGTCAAACTAAACGTTGTGCTTATTTTAAAAGTAGTATTAAATGTAACAGCCGTTGCCATAATTCATTCAATTGTTTAAATAAATAATTATTAACTATACGATAAATTATATTATATATAAATTACTAAAATTATTATATAATTTATTTAATTACCTACATATTACTACTCGTATTATTAGTTATATCAAAACTAAACTTAATATAATATACTTACCATATTACACAATATAACATACAAATATTATATAACTTTGATAAATATAAAATATATTTTCGGTACACAAAGTGAACGACTAGATTCAGAAAAAAATTACACAATGTTAAATTGAAACGACCGTTTCATGAAAAAGTGACCATATTATGAAATATTTTCGTATTTTACGAAGTGTGAAAAAGCCGTTTCTATTTCATGAAATGGTCAACTTCACTAAGTGGCTACGACATATACATATATAAATGCATACATATGTATATATAAAATACACACACTCACACACATAATATAATAAAGTATATCATAAATATGAAGCTGCATTGAATTATTTAAGCAAAGTGTATTTTAAAAGAAAAAACATTGTAACTAATATTATTAGCTTAGGATCTAACTGTTAAATTTACCCAAACAGATTTTATCCACCAAAAATAAAAACACATAACTAAAGCTGGCAGTTTCTCGCTTCTAACTAGTAATTTGCATAAATATTGAAATCTCCATAAAATAATTAACAGAAAAGAAAGTGACTGGTACAGACAACATGTATAATTTTATCAAATCTTGTTGATGGGTAGAGCATAAACTATTAAAATAAAACAAATTTGTAGTTATTGAAATTAATGAAAAATGATCGCATAGGCAACAAAAATGAAATGTCTTCAGTATGTTTCTAATGAATCTGGTTCTTTTTTATAGTTTGATACTACACCTCTTCATTACTGGACATTATAGATAAAAACTGTTTTATTTTAAACAAATAAAACTAAATTAAAAATTTTAAATGAGTATTATACTATTTTGGTTGTATAAAAAGTTTTATCATAATTTTCAGTAGATATCCTTAAGTGAATTTTAAAAGCTTTGAAAAACGCTCTTAGTGATCTAATGTCATTTTTTTATTTATAATCTGTTATTTTTATAATAGTCTATAAAAATAATATTGATAAAACTAATAAAAAATAAACTTACAAAACACTCCATCATTCTTTTTTTTTTTAATATCATTAGAAATAACCAAAAAGAGTTTAGTAAAAATATATTATTTCAAATCTTTAATATTTGGTTTATAATGATAGATATATAATTTAATAGTAATGCATAATAATAATTCAAAACAATAACAATTAATGTATTAACAAATAATGTTGTATATTACAAATAGCATAAAATTAATTAAAATTAAAAATGGCAGCTTTATAAATTTAATTATTTACATCTTAATTTAGGTTGAATAATGAAGAATAGAATCTTATCATTGGATTTAATAAATGCTTTCCAACTACTAGTAAATTTAATTAAGCAGATTTTTACTCCCAAGAAAAAATGAAGTTTATTCTTTGGAGTAAGGATAATTAGTTATTAAAATAAAAGTTCTATTTTTTGTTATAAAATTATTGTAACTGATATTTATATTCAAAATAAAAACAAGAGAAAAGACCAAAAATGGTTTATTTTTATAATATAATCTCACCTTTGCTGTAGTAATGCAATATTTTTGGATTTATCCTTTTCATGTATATCATTTTCTTCTTGAATGTCATTCTCTTTTTTGATAATTTTAGAATCGAGCAACAATGTATCCATTTGAAGTATGAAATTTGATAATTCCATTTTCATAACATTCTTTTTTTTTTTATTGCTATGATAAAATCTTTCAGGCAAAACAGTTTTCAAGTTGGCATCTTGACCAATATAACTAAATATAAACAATATATATATAATTAAAAAGAATATAATACAATATTTAAAATTAAAATTACTTGATAAATTATTAAATATTATTATAATTTAAAATTTATTTAATAACAAATATTTTATACATATAAATAAATAAATAAAAGCTAAGTCTGGAGTGTATTATTATACTTGTAAAGTACAACCAAATTAAAAATTCATCATTAGGTATATACAAATATTAAAATAAAAATATTTAATATACCTTAAGCTAAAAAAATTTTAAAAAAATAATAATTGTTGTAATTTTTCATGTTAATGTTGACAAGATATTAACTTCACGTATTAATTTATTCATCTAAAACACATTTAAAAATAAATACATAATATTTTTCTTCTCCACATTAAAATAGAACTTATGCCCATAGGGCAAGTGGCGGAGTCACATATATGTAAAAGTAGTAGATTCACCATTATCATTAAAGTAACCATTAACAGAGAAAATATCTCTATCATCTGCTTACATGAAGTCATAGCAACACTAATCAAGTCCAAAAAACCTCTTATTATAGGTACTATTTTTATTCCAGACAGCAAAATTATCAACAAATAAACTTTAAAGGCATTATAAATAAATTCCTTAAATCTTTTGTTTTCATGGGTGACTTTTTTATTCAATTTATACTCATGACTGTCTCACAAAAGAGCAATTTGGATTTAGACAAAATCAATCAAAGTTAGACACACTTTCAATAATACACACAGACATTTCTTTAGCATTCAGATGCAAACAGCACCTCATATAATAGCCTAGGAAATTAAAAATCAAATGACATAGTATGAAAAAAAGAATCCTATTAACTTAACAAATGGAATATAAATGGCAACATTTTTAATTTTAACAAAAACTTCTTTACTGACCAAAAATTTAGCGTCAAAATATATGATCATTTCTTACTCAACTGTATAGAAAATAGACTCATTTAAGAATCCACACTTATTGCCACTCTTTTAGAGTAGCCATTAATAATATACAAAATAATCTTCCTAAACCAGTCAAATTTATTCTTTTTTCTGACAACTGTAATATTTACTTTAGCGAATCAAATATTAAAACAACCACAATTTCTACAAGCAGCACTAAATATTCTTTATAAATGGTTTTTTGAAATCGGGTTCAGCTTCTCCCCTAATAAAATTATTTTAGTGTTTAAAAAAAAAAAAGACCTCCAACCTATAATTAACCTCAATGATCTTTACTAAGAATATCTGCAGCATCCTCGGCTTAAATTTTGGTAACAAATTTGGCAACCTCATTTGGAAAAACTCAAAATCGAAAGTATATCAAGAATGAAATTGACTAAAATGTTTGCTCACATCATTTGGGGAACCATTACTGAACTCTATAAAGTACACATTCTCTCATTAATCAATTATAGAACCATATTTTACAAATCGAAAAAAAAAAAACTTGAATACCCTGTTCACAAAGAATATGGCCAGTCACAGAATCTTTTAGGACGAGTCCTATAGATAATATATTGTACAATAATAAAGAGAACTTCCATTCTCATTCAGACATCAAAGCCAGATACTCGAATATATCATTAAAATGTTAAGAGATCACTATCACATTACTAGCAATGTCTTACACAATTAATTAATTAATTAATTAATTTCCAAGCCTATACTTAATTCTCAAACATTCCAAAACAACATTTTAAAACTTGGACTATCAGGTATGAACGCTTAATAAAAATCTATTATCTCTCCACCCATGGCTCCAATTACTAATTATAAATAATCATTAACCGTATATAATAAGTACTGTACTTACAAATCAAATATTTAAAGCTGTTTTTCAGAAATAATATCTCAAAAATATGGTGAGTACACCCAAATATATACTGATGCTTCCAAGAATCATAATGGTTTGATTTTTTTGATAATTACAGAACAATAACACTGTATTTTTCAGCTACTATCCCACACTAAAATTTTTATAACAAGCGATTTTTATAATGAACCTCTTTAAATTTGATCAATATTAACTTCAAACAATCAAAATTTAAACATCAAACTTCACATAATCGTCAGCGACTCCTTGAGCATTTTTACGATAACCTTCTTCCTACCCATACACAAAAATTAATTAGTCCTACATATACAAGAACTTATATCAAAAATCAATAATAAATAATAATAATAGTTTTTCACGTGGGTACCTTCTTGTGTTGGAATACTTGGTAATGAAACAACAGACTTTAATAGGCGATGAAGTGACCTCTTTTCCATTCACTACAAAAATTATATCTAACATTATCTAACACAACTTTTATTAACAAAAATAAAATGAACGAAAAATAACAGAAATATTGGATCAATATGCTTACAAAAAGTTTGAAAATGAACATTAAAAAAAAAAAAAATGAATTACCTAAGCGAGAATAAGACACATTCACCAAACCCATGCAAACAGTAAAGAATCAACATCAGAATGTGACAGTTACAATTTAAGTCTAAAAATCGAACAAATAATTATCAATCTGCCTTAAATACTCCAAAGCTCATTAAATCCTCAATAATCCACAGTAATTACAACAAGCTCTCAACGAAGACAACAGCGCCAATCTGCAAATTCTTGTATTATATTAAATATATACAAACTTTACTAACTTTTTTATAAGTCACAATTATCAATAACATTATTACATCCAAAACAATATGACTTTTTTTCTTCTCTTTAATTATTATTTGTAAGTAGGCTAAAACTTTTAGTTGAAGCTAAAATAAATATAAATAAAAATATATAGAGTACCAGACAATTATTGATTATATATATATGATTAAATAATATAAAATTAAATTGCCTACATTTAACTAAAATTTGAAAGTAATGGTAAAATATTAAGTTTAAAGAATTAATAATGAAATAAGTTATTATTATACTTCCAGTAGCTATTACATTAGCTGTTTTTTTTTTTTATAATTTTAACAGAAAATATATACAAAAAACACTTACTCTGAATTATTATCCGAGCTTATAGTACTATCTGGACTGATATATGACTTCTTTTTAATAGTTAATTTGGTTGAACACTGTTAACATAAAAACGGTTGTTAATTGCTGTTCAGTTTTTTAAATATTCATATTAAATAATAAACATTTTAAAATAAGGAAAAAAAAAATAAAATACATAAATAAAATAAATTAATTTTGTTAATAATCAGTTGAAATTGAAATAGATTTAAATGGTATTCAGAAACATAAATAATACCTTCATTACATTAATTTATAACAAAGTTAATTAACACGTGAAAATGTTGAAATATTTGATTTTAATACCTGCCAACACTTAATACATGCGAAAAGTAGTTTTATAGTTTTATTTTTTACAAGTATTAATTAAACAAATTATGGTTAATACAAAAAAAAAAAATATTCTTCTTAAACATTTAATATATTTAGAAATATAGATGAAAATGACCTATTAGTGAGTACTAAAATAATTATAAAAGCTGATCAGACATTTGATAATTTTTCAACTTAATATTTAATAATTTAAAATAATATACGTTATAAATTTTATTAGAAAAAACACAATACAAATACATATTAAATTATGTAATTTATAAAAACAATAAGCATTTTAGTATGGTAAATCAAGTTCATAATTATTAGTGGGTGTTTTACCTGTGGTTAAAAATGTTGTGATCTAAGCAACACCGTAACTAATAGCTCATTATTAGTTGACTTTTTTGACTGAAAATATTAAAACATATTAATTAAAACAAATTATTACATAGTATTGATAAAAGTAAACATTAGTATTTCTTTATAACAAAGATTTTCTCACACATGCTTTAGGTAACTTATGGAGTCTGTATTATTTTATGCAGTGCTACTAATTATAACTTAGTAATCAAACAATTTTAAATTAATAAATTCTCATATGTTATTACAGAAATTTTTTTTCAAAATAGAATACCAGTATTAAAATATAATACTTAAGTATACAACAGACATTTTATTTAAATAAGTCAAATTATATTGAGATTAAAAATGTTGCATTCCTACTAAATTTTTTTTTTTAAGTAACTATATTTTTTTTATCATTTAAGCATATTTTAAAGTAATTGAAAGAAAATTGATGGTTTATAATTTTGACAAAAGTTATATATATATATATATAATAAATCATGAAATTTAATTATATTTTACTAACTAGATACTCATACATTATATAACATATCAACAATTTAAGCTTTTTTCTTAGAAAAATATCAGTTTTCAAAACAGAATTCCAATCAAATTATTTTAAATAACATAATATATTGTATGCATTATTTAATTTGAAATATTAATTTATATTTAAATAATTAATATAAGTAATTTTTTTAATTAAATTTTTATAAGTATTTTAGAACATTTAAAATCTACATAAAACTTCAATCTATAAGTTAGAGTTCTTAATATATGTTAAACACAAAGTCCTACCAAAAGAGGAATATATGTCTGCAAAAATAAAATATGTAAAATTAAGTAATTAATTAATAATATTTTTACTTTTCTGTAAGTTTTCCAAAGTCTTGCTATTAATATTAATACTACACAATACTTTTACAATGATAATCATGTAACACTTACTATTATAATTGTTGGTACAACATTATTTTTCAGTGTTGGTTGAATTTTCATAAAAAAAAGTCAACTGGATTCAAATGGAGAGAACATAGTAACATATTGCATTTTGGTTTGACTTCATGGCTCACAACAAATTCAGTTCACTGTTTTCTTTGTTTGGGTTTAGTTGAAATTCTAAATAAAAATTAACAAAATGAGTTATAATTGGTTGGTGTACTCCCCCACATAAGCAATAATATACATAATTGTGCATACTTCCTACAGTATTTCTGCACAGTGAACAGCTTTTTTTCTTTCTTTTAACCATGGTGACGTCAATCGTATCTGTAAAAAGACAACCGTTAATAACATGCATTCATAGACAGAAGAAAAATAAAACATATTCGTATCTATAATTTAAGTAATAAATGTACATTCATTGCTACTTGTATAATGTGGAAACAATACTTGTAATATAACTAAATAGCAATAAGTATTAATACAAACTTAGTCTTTAATTGAATAACATTTTTAAATTTATTAATTTATTTGAGGTTGATTCTTATTATACTATTTAATTAAAATGTTCTTCTAAAAATTTAATAAAAATTTCAAAATCATAAGACTGTAACATGTTTTTTTTTTACTTTTAAAATTATCATCATAAAAAAAATGCAATTACCAGGTTGCTACTTAATATTAAATAAAATTCTAAACAAAATATCTCGTTCAATTCCATGCTAAAATATTATATTTTAATTAATATGAAAACTACCCAAAATCATACTCTTTTCAACACCTAACAATCCGAAACATAAAATAGCTTCCTATAAGTCAATCAGGTTAGGTATTATCAACAATAGCGAAGTTATTTAAGACATTTTGACCCCTAACTCTCAACTAGAGACTCTCAACTCTCATAACTAGAGCAGGGATGGCCAAACTGCGGCACGCGTGCCATTTGTGGCACATTTGTTGTTATTGAATGGCACACTAGAGTCAGATAAAATAATATATAATTTTTAAAAATAAATATTATTATTAGATATTATTATTAATATTATTAGATTATATTATCGCAGTGGAATTTTCCTATTATTATTCCGATACGAGAATTGTTACGGTACGTGTGTACTAGATTACTACAGTAAAGTTAGTCGTATTAGAATCGCCGTGCCCGTGCGTTAACGAGTAATTTGTGTCGTTGTGTGTGTGTGTGTGTGTGTGATCGTGAAATGACATCTAATAAACCAGTCGTAAGTTTAGGCGTAAAACGAAGTTATAATGATGATATTTCTTCGCGAAATTTTAATACAGAATGAATAGAAAAATTTTTATGTATAGAAGGGAAAAAATCTAGACCGATATGTTTAGTATATAACTCTGTAATTGCAGTTCCAAAAAAGTTCAATATTCAACGGCACTATAATAATCACAATGATACTATTGAAAAATACCCCGAAGGTTCTGTAAAGAGGACAGAATATATTAAAAAAAAGACTAATTCATTGTTAACTCAGCAATCAATTTTTACTAAACAATCAAATGAAAAAAAGGACATGGTGTTAACGTCTTATGAAATCGCATTTTTGCTAGCCAAGTATGGAAAGAAAACCTTATTCTGATAGCGAAATCATTAAAAAAAGTTAGATATTTTTGCAAAAAATGCAAATGATTCAAAAATTTCTACGTACGTAAATGACATTTCTTTATCACGTAATACAATTATGAGAAGAATTGACGAAATTTCCTCAGATATTTCAAAACAAATTTCGTGTAGTACTACTAATTCTAAATATTTTTATCTTGCGCTTGATGAAAGCTATGATATTACGGACAAGTATATTTATTCGAAGTGTGAATTCTAAATTTGAAGTGACGGAAGAACTTTTAGGACTTGAAGTACTCAAAACATCGACAAAAGGTACAGATATATTTAATAAACTAAAATGTTGTGTTGAAACATTATTTTTAAAAAGTAACGATTTAATCTGGTCAAAACTTGAAAGTGTATGCACAGACGGTGCTCCATGTATGATAGGTAAAAATATTGATTGTGTAACACTCTATTGGAAAAGTTTTTGAATAGAAATTTAAATAAACATCACTGTATTATATACCTAGAAGCCTTATGCGCCAAAATTTTAAAATTTGATCATGTATTAAAACCAGTATCTCGATGTATAAACAAAATAAAAGCTCGGCCTTTAAATCATCGATTATTTAGAACTCTATTTGAAGACGCCATTAACGAGTCTGGTGAACTATTATTATTTTGTGAAGTAAGATGGCTTGCAAAAGGAAAAGCATTAGAAAGATTTTGGAGTCTAAAAGACGAAGTTATTGAATTTTTAGAAAAAAATAATGAATTGCCTGATGAATGTGAACTACTGAGAGATAAAAATTGGTTAATTAACCTTGCATTTTTAACTGATATTCTCGGGCATTTAAATATTCTTCATAAACGACTGCAAGGTGAAGGAAATTTATTTCCAGCCTTTGTAGGTTCTATAAATTCTTTCATGTCTCGACTTCGACTTTTCGAAAGTAATTTAGGAATGGGAAATTTAGATAACTTTGTACGATTAAAATCTATTTATCTATCAACTGATATTCCATTGACGATTTTTAAAAATCATATTTCATCACTATATGATAATTTTCAAGATTCAGTAAATTTAAAGAAGAAGAAGATTTAAATAACTTATTTATTAATCCATTTATCATAACAACACACGATCTTCAAAAATATAATCTCAATATGCAATTGGAAATTATTGAACTTCAAAGTTCAACAGTTTTAAAATGCAAATAAAAAGAGTCATCTGAGATTATAGAATTTTGGAAATGCCTACCCGAAGAAGATTTTCCAGAATTACATAATGTAGCGGTAAAATTGGTTTGCAGATTTGGCTCTACATATTATATATGTGAAAAATTTTTCACAAATGACTTTCATTAAAAATAAGTATAGAACCAAACTAACAAATTCTCATTTGAAAAATTTAACGCTTCTATCTTAAATTAAACTTAAACTAAACTATGAAGAGATAATATCCATGAAGCAAATTCAACATACCTTATCATTAAAAAAAACATTGCAATTGAACTGTAATAAATGAAAAAAAATCTAAAATTTATATTTATGTAAACATTGTAAACTGTAAATAAATATTTTTTAAGGCACATTCTCAATTTTGTAAACATTATTTGGCACAATATAAAAAAGGTTGGCCACCCCTGGACTAGAGATTCAACAGTACATAAAATACAGAGGCTAACACTCTTCATTTGAATAAAAAAAAACAAAAACTTTACTGTCCCGGAGTATTTTAGATATATAAAGAAAAGTATTCTTTCACACTTTACATTCATTCCTACCAACTCCATATTACCTGTTAATTACATTTTAAATAATTCAAAATAAATGTTATATATAACATAATTAATGTATCATTGAATTATAATCATCTGATGAATAATTAAATAACCTTTCAACATCATTTAATAAATATCTATAAAACCAAATAAAACCATAGACAAAAATTCAAAATGATAACTTATAATTTTATAAATGTTCATACAATATACCTAATTAATTAAATTGATAACATTTAGTAAACAATTCAATGATTAATTTATAGTAAGATTTAAAATCTTTTCAAAAAAACATAACTATATTATAATTACATTTGAGCAAATGTCCTGAAGATGTTATTATTTTTTAAAAAGCAACTAGTAAATAATAAAATTGTTTTCTTTCTGAACTTTATTTGTTTATGATTTTAATCTTCAGGATTCCAATAGATATTACTTGCCTACTTCTGCAACAAAGCAAGTAAGTAATGTATAATTTTATTAAGAAAAAAACTACAGATGAATAAACTTTTATTTTTATTGACCTATAATTTTCAAACAATTTAACAGGCTGAAACTGACAATGAAGAAGAAAACAGTGAGGTATTCCCATAAAGTAAAGAAATTGTAGCTCTAAGTATCCTCAGGTGAGCAGTCCTGTACTGTGCGGATAAAAAAGGCTTTGGACAACATTATTCTTATGAAACCATGATCATCAAGTTACTCGATGCAAAACAACAGACAACAATAAACAAATATTTTACTTAGCTTATACATTTTTATTATAATAAATAAAACCAATCGCATATTAGAAACAATTTGTTAATTGACACATTTAACTTTGGTCCAAAAGTGTTCCAAATAAGTGGCTTCTGCTGTATTTATAAATTATGAAAGGTTTCAAGTTAAAAGTTCATTATTAGGACATACAATGTCAATAAAATCACAACTGAATATGAAAAAATAAAGGAAGGAATAAATTGAGAAAAAATATTCTTTTACATGGAAATAATTTATTTTAATACCTTTTTTTAAAGTTTTTATTTTTTATTTTTTATATGTTTGATTAAATTATTATAAGTTTTAAATGTGATTTTTACATCATTAGTATTATTGTTTGAAATTTTAGGAAATTTGTTAGATATATTATTTTGATATTTTATAACAATATTATTTGATCCAAAAACCATAACAGAGTCAAAGCTGCAGTTTTAAAGAATAACACAGAATCTATGTACAAACTTCTAAATTTCTGTTCAAGTTTTACAGTACAATTCATCATCATATTTAAAGCATTTGAGCTAATAACTGAACATCATCTTCACCGACTCTCTCAGCACAATTAAGAATATAGAAAAAATACATACACCTTATCAGATATAAGTATATAAATAAATATAAAAAAAATAATTTTCTACAAAATTTAATAATTACAAAATAAAATTGTTTTAGATACCCAGATACAAAAAAGAAAACAAACTTGCTGACTTCACAACCAAAATTATAACCATCAACTCTTCACTTTAATCGCACACAAATATCACCTTGTACAATGATAAACAAATACTAACAAACATGGTATCAAAAATGGACTGAAAATGGATGAATCCCACACTAAATTTAACAAAGTAAAGCACAACATTGACAATTAGACATTTCTTATCGAAACACCTAAGGGTTACAGTCGTATTGACAAGACATAGAATTGGACACATGAAAATGCCATACAATCACCTAATGTCCAAGAAAGAATTATTTTATTACATATTTTACAATCCAAGAACAGTATTGTATATTATTGGTACCTATGTGTAAAATTATTTAAAAAAGTATATTTCAGTTTATGCAAAATGGTATGAATAATCAAATATTGCTATTGTCAAATGGGACATTTAAATAATGAGTATGGTCTATGGACGAAATAGCGCTACATAAAGTATTCATTTGAAATGCTAGCATTCAACAAAGACTACATTCAAAACCCTCAT